TCTAGTATGCACTTTGTCTCTTGATCGTCTTGAAGTTAAGTTTAGTTTAGGGTTTTGGGAGGGTTGCGATGCGGCTACTTAATGGTCGCAGTTCATGCCACATCATTAAGTAGCGACGCGACCTCATGTAAGTCGTGATGTGAAGCCATCACAACTCAAAACCCTAGGCATTGGGCCTTATTCCTTATTTAATGGATATGATGTTTAGGGTGTGCTCTATTCGCCTCTGTTTCGTTTGAAGTGAAAATATAGCCTTGTGTGTGTTGGTGAGCCTTGTGTGAGTTTTTGGATTTTCTTGTTGAAGAATAAGACTCTTGGTTCTTGGAGAAGCTTTGTCTAGCTGAAGTTTCCACCTTTTAAACCCAATATACACATTGTAAGTCATAAATTTCCATGTTTTATTCGTTTTCATGCATAGAACTAGGCTTGTGAAGTGCTTTTGGTCTCTTTAAGTTCCTTTCCTTGAAGTTCTTGAAGTTCGGAGAACTCTGACTTCTGGCCTTGTTGGGAGTCTGGCCTTGTTAGGAGTCTGATAAGTGCATATTTAAGCTCATTCGTTGCCATGTAAAGGATTCAAGCTTGTTTGTAGCATTTAGGAGTTATGGTTTGCATAGGTTAGGGATATGGATAAAGTTGGAAACTTTATCCAATAAATCCCTTAGTAGAATCAGATTTGAAGATTTAGGCTCTAGAATTAGTGAAACTATATCCATTAAATCTCGTGGTATGTACACTTTTTCTCAAGCACCACTTGCTTTGATGATTTTCCTTATATTTTGTTTTTTTATTACAAATTTTGTTTTTAGGTGAAAGGCTTCATTCGGTGACATCATATTTTATTCAACTAAGATAAGTACACCTCCAATAAGCTATTAATGGAACAATGGCAGTAAGAAAACCAAAGTAACCAACAATTCCATCTTCTTTACATCTTATACTACTAGCCAAGCTCATTAATCTTTATTGTAGTAGCACAACTGTTGACTTTTCAGAGGTAAGTCTTGATGTTTACTTATATATTTAAAAATTTATTCAATAATTTATCTTTTTATAGGTTAAACAATGTTTATATGTGTTCTTTGATCATTATTTATCTCTATCTATGAACCACAAGGAATGTATATGCAAGGCTTTCATCCCTATGACGAGATCAATGTGACTTGGAATCAATGGTGTTACAAGTGAGGAGTCTGTGGTAGTATCCCACATGAGCAAGCGTACGATCCAGGCTCTTGCTTCACGTTACATGTGTTACAGACTCCATTGTACCCAAAGGAGATAGACAAAAAAAGTTAATGATTCAACTGATTCTTCCGATTACTTTGACTATGGAGAAGAAGTCGTTACTATATGTATCGCAACTGAGGTAAAAAAAACCATTCAATATACTAATAAAATGAATAAAGTATGTTGTTATTTCTTGTGATATTTATCTTTTGGTAATTGATTTTTTTATGTACAAGTTTTGAGTTACCATAAGAAGAAATATGCAGCTAAGAAAGCTTATGTTTCATCTATTTGTAAAGTACTTGTATTGGTTTGTTTTCGAGCATTAGAACAAGTGGCGACAAATTTAATGTGGAAGCTTTTGAATCGAGTGGCTGAATCTGTTTCATCGGATAAAGAACCTGTAAAGGAAGTCAAACAAATGGTTAATTTTGACTTTGCTTCTTAATTATTTATACATTTGAACAATTGTGATTTCTCATTACCTTTTTAGCAATAGTTCATAATACATAATATTTATTTTTCATTAAACGACAGTTATATGATTGGTGTTTTTTTAAAGTTTATGAATTTATGTAGGGCAAATTGTACGGTATAGCAATCTACTTTATTCTTTTTTACCAATATATGTAACGTACTTATATCTTATTCCCATAATAGCAGCTTACTTATAAGTTTTTACCCAATAGTAACAATGTACTTTATAGGTTAGAATTTGCAAGTATGTTGCTTCTGTGTAAAGAAATGTAATAGAACGCTATTATTGGTTAAAGATAAAGTAGATTGCTATTTATTGTGATTTTGGCAATTTATATGTCATTAAACAAAATGATGCAACAAACAAAAAATATAAAAAAATATGTCTCATGTGAAGCATAAATTTTTTTTACTAGTTATTATTATTCTTAATATGTCAATATTTGTAGAATATAAGAACAGTGTCTATCAATCAAAACTTACCTATTTAAAGTTTTAATTCGTATTGAAAGAAAAAAAACAAACATTTGACGTGTTATGATGTTGCCCAACTCCTAAACCACATATTTACAGTTAAACAAAAAAAAAAAATCACTTTTAGTCAAATAAATACGATGACAGATCATACATACAATGTAAAATGGTTAGTCAATTTCATAAAGACGGTGGGTGGTGATATCGATTGTGTAGGTTGTTGTCCGACGAAGAGGGGCAAGTGTTCGCCAACCGAGAATGACTTCTATTTTTTTTACTAAAGGGGAAAGTGGTACCTAAAGCTGATCGACTTGTACTTCTTCTTTTTCTTTTTTTAATATAATATATTTGGCCTCCATGCCATAATCCACAAAATTTCATACAAAACATTACATAAACCCCGAAGAAAGCTAAACATACGAAACCCTAGAATGTGAATTTCACTCGATACTAAATAACCTAACCTCATATGAAGGAAAATAAACGTGACCATATTATATGAAATATGAAACTTTTGTCATATGTTTTAGTTTTGACTGGACGAGGCCAGTCAACGCTGCAAATTTTGTAATGTGGGGCCCATCCCATTACAGTCACACCAACAGACAAGAACTCAGAAAATCTCACTCGATTGATTCCAGATAAGATACGACTGTAAACGCCCTTTCTGTTCTGTATCATTTCTATGTTTCCACGCCCCGATTCAGCACTCAAACACTCTCATCTGACAACTCATGGCCCCGATTCGATTCATCTATCTACAAACTGCAAAGGATTATCTTCTTTCACAATTGTGTTTCTAAAAAAACATTATTCTTTGTAATAATTAAAAGAAAATGTTTCCAGTGTCATGCGATTCAACAAATAAAAAATGGGTAAGTTTTTATTAATATTATGTACCTTAAATTATTTATTAGTTATTTAATTGTTTAGTACTTTGCATAAATAAATATAAATTAGTCGGATTCTGTATTTTGGTTATATTTTTGTATTGACATAGATTACAAACAACTTGTCATTAAACTCGGTGATGTATCGTACGATATTTACGGTATCAAGTTCAATACAAAATAATATACAATTTTTTAAATTCATATGGATTCGAACCTCCATACACCTTCATCTTTTAGAAATTTGATAAACTAAAAAATGTACTTTATAAGTAACGACGTAACAAAAAAAACAAATTTTGAGGACAAAAATAAGTCAAGTATATATTTATACGTTGGATTAGACAAAATGAGATTCCCTCGATAATATATACATATTTATATAGAGCATTACATAATAAAGTTTGTGATAGAAAATCATTATACACAACTTAAATTCATTATCAAGGTATAGAGTATTAAAAATTAGTCTAGTTAATTTCCATCCTATTTAAAGTTCTTAATACCAAAGGTTGCACCCCATCTGATTGAGTGGAAAGCTTAGAAGTGATTAAAAAACAACATATTTTATACAGATATAAAGAAAAAGAAAACATGTTCAAAGGAAAAATACACAAATTTATTAGATTCTTGTGGATACAGACATCGCAAAAATTCAAATTCAACAGAATGATACACGGCAAACAAACATATAACAATAGTAAGAAAAACAAATTTAGAAAAACCAAATATATATAATATAATATTATACTAGGTGTGAAACCCATGTATTATATGAGTTTATTTAAAAAATATTTAAATATGAAATTTTAACAATTTGAGAAGTTTGAATTTATAAGAAAAATGAGGAAAAAAATTGAATTATTAAAATTAATGAGACTTTAATACATTGAATACATTACTATATAAACCTTTCTAATAAATACCTTACATATATATTACCTTACATATTAAATGTGGTATTTTAATTTAATAAAATGAAAAATACAATAACACGACAAATGGAAAATAGAAAATTCAAAAATTATAGAAAATGTCATGTGTCTAAATGAAGGAGAAGAGACATGTGGCAAAAAGATTTTGATTTATTAGGGAGTATATATATATATATATATATATATATATATATATATATATATATATATATATATATATATATATTAGGTATGTACCTAAGTTTCAAGTATGTACCGTATGTAGATGCCAATATGCCATAACTAAAAAAAGGTTTAGATTTTCAATCCATTATACAATTGGATAAAAAAAACTCACCATATCCCTTCAAGAATCATCCACTTCATTCTATCACACAAAAACAAACATTTATTTTTCATTCCAATAAAACTAACCATTTCATTCGTTACCTGATTCTATCATACCAAATACTATAAATCTCTTTAAAAAGTGAGAAGTATCCAAACGGATTTCACCTAAAAACGGAGAAAAACACAAACAATTTTGTATGCAAAACAACTCACAAAAGTGCATTCGACCACTTTTGCACCATACCAAGAAATTCTTCCAAAAACTGGAAGGGTTAACAAATATTAGGTTGCATTTGTTACACAAGACATGATTAGACAAGTTTTTTTTAAAGCTATGCGCGCACTCCCGTCTTTTGCAGACAAATATCCATATTCCACCTTTTTGGGTGGGACCAAAGATTCCAGTTATTTCCCTATGGACACAAGTCCTGGTCCTGGTCCAGTCCAATACACACCAAATGCAATAAATACAGTCTATTATATTATGTCATGTCGAGATGTCATGTTCTAGGTAACAAAGAGGATGTTATAAAAGAAACAAATGAGATTTTCTTTCTTCCCTACAAACGGATACTCCTAGTATGCAGAAAAAAAAACACCACGATATGGAGAACCTTTATTTTGTCTTCACATGTCCAACTTTATCCGGATGGTAACAAATATTTTTGTCACGGACCATAAATTTATCGTGTGGTACAATGATATCATATAGAACATAGTCTATGAAAACATAAAATAAAAAAATGATAAAACAGGGGTAAAAAGGGCATACAAGTTATCAGGACACAGGAACAGCAACGATTGTATTAAATGTGTATAGTTTAGATTTTAGAAGCAAAAATTTTATTGAGAAAAGCAGCTGAATTATGTGTGAAACTTAAGGATGTCAAAAGTGAGCAATACTAGGTGGGTGTAGGTTGAGGATGTGTCTTTCCGGAAGCATCTGGTTCTTGAGTTCTTGTGCAACCAGTGACACATGTCTGGCATGCTGGTGGAAGAGATAAATCATCTGCTATGCTAATTCTGAAAGTTCTATTCTTTTCTTCATTTTCAGGAACATGTAAGAGAGCTTCCATTATTAAAATCTCCCAGTCACGTGGTCGGAAAAATGAAAGCCAGTTCTCTTCTGTTGTTTACACACCATCATCATTTATTCATCAATACGTTTAAGGTTAAAAGACAAACATGATGATGATTAAATTAAAGGAAGATATTGGTGTAAATATAATTACCTCCATTGCGAACAGCCCTTAGTTGAAAGATTCCAGAGCCTTGTGGCCCAGAAACAGGAAAAGTGCAAGAAACAGAGTGCCTTTTGTGAGTCACTGCAAGTGATGCATTATACCAAGGACCTCTTGCAATTGGCTCCCCAATTGCATCTATTACTGCCTGGTTTTTGCTTGCCTTCTCCATGGCTTTGCTAAAAAAAATACATAGCTAAGCATCAGAATGTTTGATCAGAAGCAACAAATCCTGATCAAAATACTAGCATATTGGACTTAAAACATATACAAATCAGCCTGGTTTTATTTCCATCAAACAACACAAGCAGCTCTGGGAGACTGAATTACCATTCTCTCCTTTTGATCTACGCTCATGAATTTCTAGATAACGGCTCATTACAAATTTAGAACACTTCTATTTTCGGTAGCTGATAACTTTTTTTTGGGAAGAGTCAAACTTTGAGTGATTACCTGCTACAACCATGATAAATGATAAGGTCATCAAGGGCGCTTAAAGCAACACCGCCGGTGACACAGATCAAGCCACCGGAAACAATTCTTCGGCCCCATGTCTTGGGTTTTGCTTCCTTCCCCACCACGACTTCCGCCGAGCTGCTGACACAATAACAAATCGCACCACCATTTCATCAATTTGGGGTTCAAATTATTTTACATGAATTGCAATAAAACATTACAAATTTCATCAAATTGATACCTAGAAGGAGAAGAATTGCGCCTCAAAAACGAAATAAACCTCCTCCCAATCATCCCTTTCCTCTTTTCGCTGCAGTGCGTGCAAAACCCTAGTAACGCCAAACTGTAGATTTCAGGTTTTTGGGTCGGAAAATATTGGGGTTGGAATGTAATTTTCCTATAATATGAAGGGGTGCTTTGGACTTTTTAATGCTTTTACAGCGGGTTGAGTCTTAGGCCGGTTATATCATATGTCAGTCACTCAGTTGATTTATAATTCGATTATATTTCCTATTTGTTGATTGTTGATTACATTTAACATAAAAAACATTTATTCAACTTTTCCTTGATTACATCTAATATAAAAAACATTTATTCAACTTTTCCGGATATTGAAAATTTTCTTTTTCAAAAATATTAGTTATACTAAGTGTGAGACTCCATAACCATTTAATATTTTTTTTAAATAAAATTTTAAAATAAATACAAACAAAATGATAATAAGTAAGTAATTCAATTAAAAAGGTTTTGAATTAACTGCACATTCAGAAAGTGAACCCCTCATCCACCCTGTTAACATGTTTAAAGAGATATTTATTTGATTAAATCCATTGGAACCATAATCATGAACCTGTTTGCATTAACCAAAGAAGCATGAGACATTAATAAATTAAAAAACAATTACATCTGTCAGTAGAAAACAATCATAAACCAATATTACTTGAGGTCATATAAATCAAGACATTGATAGAGTTTTAGTGCTATACCAACATTGCTTTTGTATCTGAGAGATATTGTTCTAGAAATGGAGCGGATATTTTAGAAAACCAACAAGTTTCTTTCCAGACGTGTAAATCTTCCATTCATCACCAATCAAAGGATTCGATTGCCTCGGCGTGGATTTTGGTTGTGGCTCTTGATCTGAATGAAATCATATAGCCGGTAAAAGAGAATAAAAAACTTGTATCTAGAATAGTGATCAACAGTATTTCTAATTATTAACCAAAAGTGGACTTAAATAAAAAGAGCCGAGTAAATGAAAAAGATGGACTTCAATTATTAACCAAAATAAGACGTGTATATAATGGCTTGTTTGATTAGAATATGTATTTGGTTGTCAAACAACTAAATTTAATTTCATATGAAAAGACATTCCTCCATGTGGGTGGAATGAATTAAATTCCATTCTTTTTTTTTTTTTTTTTCTTGTTTAAACTTTAAGACATTAAGGCCATAATGCCATTATTATTATTATTATTATTATTTTATATATATCGAAAAAAATAAAAATGAAAACTTTGAATGTAGGTGAAAATTTAATAAAAATTATGATTTTTTTATTATTGAATTACATTCCATTCATATCAACCACACTTCAATTCCTTACCTGTTATTGAAATGTTTATATTTCTTTATTTTTTTGAACGGAAAAAAAGTTTATAAAAGTAAAAGACAGTTGGAATCTAGGCAGACACAAGGAAGCTATCTTTAATAACTTTTTGTATTAGGCATTTTATAATCTTATAATTTTTTCAACCTTAATAATGACTACTTTACGACGATTATTCTAAAGGTAAGTGATTTTAGTTAACGACGCTTTATGTTAAATTGCTAGAAAGAATGGTATGTTTTGAAACTGCGATATTTTAAGGGCCAATTTGTAACTTGCGTAAATAGAACAAAGTTCTAGGACTAGCCAGAAAATCGATGCAAGATAAAAGTCTGTTAAAAAAAATCACAATTTCACTCTCTGATACTTGATTAAAAATGGAAGAACGCAAGCAAAGAGAACCAAATCAGCAAAAAACGCATAGGTTCAAATCTTACTATGAGACATAAATGGTGTTTAGGATTAAATCAGAAGTAAGATAGTTTGTCCTTTCAAAAAAAAACTTATAGACCCCCTTCTCAAAACGCGAGGCGTATTTTACTTTTTTACGTTTAACTTTTTTCGATATTTTAAATAACTATCACATTGAATTGAATAATAGTAATATAAGAACTTGTAGAAAAAAACACATAAACAACTAATAAAAATTAAAAATACAATTCACAAGCACCAGATCTGCTTATGATTATTCAAAACACTGGAGTGCTTTCAAATCATAACGACTCGATCCCAAGAAATTGACAAGCACATATTTTTGCATAAAGGATTGAGAAAAAAAGGCAAAATTCTCAATATGCATCATGAAAATGGGAAGATTCGCAGAGTGTAGAGAGAAGAGAGCATACAAAATTTAGAATCAAACAAAGTAGTGCGTTTCAAAAAACAAGACTACAAGTAAACAAGCAGAATCAACGGAAGCCATTGCCCCTTCCATTAGAAGGAGCAGCACCATAACGTCCTCCTCCTCCTCCTCTTGATGCATCATTGTAGCTTCCTCTGCCTCTCCCCCCTCCTCTTCCTCCTCCTGTGCTCAAACAAAACAATCAACCATTTTTCAAAACAAACTCAATTTCAGCTTTTAACATTTTAGTTGATTAAGACTGTGTTTGGCTTAAAAAGAGATAAGCTAGTGTTTAGTAAATACAAACTAGTTGTCAAGACATGGGATTTTTCCACGAATTGTACAAATACAAATTAGTTTTTTCCAATTGTTAGAAATGATTAGGCATAAAAACTTACTTCCTCCACGAGAACCATTGCTGCTGTTTGTTCTCCTCTCTTCAATGTACACTTGCCTTCCAGCCAGCTGTATCGGGGATGCCTGAAATTTGGAAAAACATAACATCAGACCAACTTTAGAAGGGTATTTTGGGTATCTAAATACACAAGAAAAAACATCAAGCTCAAACCTCAATGGCCTTCTGAACACCAACAACATCCTCAAACTCAACAAACGCAAAGCAAATACCAACATCCTGTAAATGCACAAGTTAGATTCTATACTAAAAAAACATTTGGTAGCTAAAACATATAATATAAAATTAAGGATTACAACCTTTCGATTCTTTAAGAACACACCATCTTGCTTGATTCTTCCAAAATTCTTGAATTCTTGAAAAATTTCAAGAGTGGTAACAGACGTGGGCAAGTTCCTCACATAAACAGACTTTGATTCGCCTAAATACAAAAAATAAATACAGATACTTAAACAAGGTTGCACAACAGAGATCCAAAAGAAACAAAAAGAGAAAATGTATTCACCTTCTTCATTAGATAAAGATTCCTCTGTAACATGAGGGGTAGTTTCGGGAACAAACGAAGCAACTGGTTCAGGCTGCTGATGCCACTCGGTTACAGGCGCAACACTCTTAACCACAGGTGCCTGAACAGGAACCGATGACACAGGTTTCCCCTTCGATTGCAACTGTAAAAAAAAAATTAAGTACATTTACAAAATTCAATGAGCAAACATTATACCAACTGTATAAATAATAAAAAAAACTATACAAGAATTACTTACTATGGAAGCATAAGTAAATTTCACAGGTTCAGGAGCAGGTTTTTCAACAGCAGTAATTTGTTCTTGAACATATTCCACCGTGTCCTGATGCAATGGTTCCTGAACAAATTCCACTGTCTCATGATGCAACGGTTCTTGCACATGGTTATGAATTTGATCTTCCACTTGTGGTTCATCTTCATAGTCTTCATTGTCATCATATTCTTGCTGTTGATGTTGGTTTTGGTTTTGGTGTTCTTGGGATGTATAGTAATCGCCTTCATCTTCACCTTCTAAGTGTAACGAATTGAAGTTATCCCTTGTTTCAACCTCCAACACATCTTCAGCAACTGGAATTATAAGTCTAAGATCATTAAAAATGCACTTTCACTTGTTTAATACTTTAATTTATCAACTAATTATTATCAGGTTTAACTAATACCTAATAACTCAGGAGAAGTTGAACTTATTGGTTGGAAATCATCATTGTGTGTAGCAGCCATGGGTGGAGGAAGATGATTGATAACCTCCTCATTTGCAAAGTGGAAGATGTCATTCAAGACAAAGTAACCTTTTTCCTGAGGGGCAAGAAAAAATGTCTGAACAAATTTCCTCCATCCACTGAAGTACTTTGATTTGACTGAACCAGAAACCACCACAATGATCCCTTCATTCCATGATTGAAGAGCATTTATGGTCTTGATTTCAATCCCACTAAAAAGTAATGACTGAATAAGTGTATGAATTTGCTGCATGAAAGACAAAGTCACTTCGTTAGAAACTTGTTACCCATTATCTTGACTCTAAATTATCTGAATACAAAATTCATAATCATGAATACCAGACCACTCAAATGATTGCTGAAACTTCAATTTGAAATAATCAGTTTAAAACACAGATTACTTCAAACCATTCAATTTGGATATGTAAAATCAGAACTGAGCCTTTTTAGGAGTAAGGACTATCCACCCTTCAACCCTTCAGTATAGAAATACATGCACAGAATAAAATGGTGTAATTTCAATTCACATTAGCCCGCATGCGTAAAAATAAATCGCATGATCACATCAAAAAACATCCGACCACTCACAAAACGCGAAGTCACAGACAAATGGGAGCAAATTGGTTCGAGTTTACAAAAACTCTAGTTATATCTATAGTTAGATCGAAGAGACTCACGAATATAGCTGATGCGGTCTCAGTGGATTCGCCATCAACCCGAATCATGGTACTGGAATCGGTGTAAAACTGATGAACAAATTCTGGTTGTTGTTGAAGCACCTGATAGTACTGCTGAACAAAGTATGAACCAACCTAAAGAAACCAACAAGGAAAAAATTCATCACACACAAAGGCCAAAGATCAATGAAACACAAACAAATCAAACTATATCGCTATCGATTGTTTTCATTTTTGAATGAGCACAAAATAAATAAAGACCTGGGAAGCGGTAACAGAGGATGAGTACGGACTCGCCATTTCACAAACCGTTCAAAACCCCGACTCTTTAAAACCCTAAAACCCACGAATAGCAACGAAATCTAGGGTTTCACGGAGAACAAGTATATAAGTGTGAAATCGAGCATCTAGGATCACAGATTACACTTAATTGGATGAGTAAATTGGTACTGAAGAGGGCAAGCCCGTGGTTGGGATGAGATAGAAAAAGGGAAATCTGAATAGAGATTGCGATGCTGTCGTCGTGAGTATCGAGTGTGGGGGTTTCAGAGAGAAGATGAGATCTATGGAGGAAGAGAGGGGATTTTGAAAACTTATGTTTGGGAATTTGGAAGGGTTTTATTGTATTAGAACCGTTGGATTGAATGGCTAATCGTGGTAATCGACGATGGGGAT